ATCTTCCATGGATCTCACACAATTTGGATTGCTTAGAATGGGTCCTGTATTAATTGGGCTGAAAGTATAATTTAGCCCAAATTACATTTTATTTGGGCCTGTTACTTCTCTGCTTTTTTCGGATAGTCCGCTACTTAAAAGTGATTATACCGAGCTTAACTTCTCTCTTAACAAGTTTTCAAGTCAAGATCTGTTTGTTTGTTGCATTCCTTTGTTGTGGTTCATTGGTGGCCACTTTAGTCCAAAAGGGCTGTCGGTGAAATGCACTTCGATCAGTGGTTAAAGGTATTAACTTTTAACTCTTAACTCTTAACCATTGCCGTTGTCAAAAAAAAAAAAAGAAAAAAAGATCTGTTTGTTTGTCTCTCGAAAGTTTAAAACTTTAAATTCAAGTCATTAGTAGTCTAGAAAATTAGAACATTTAGTATGAGTACTTTACAGACACCACATTATTAATTAGCTAATCTTTTATTCGCAAACATCAGTTAAAAGCACCAAACATGGCACCAGGGGTATCCTGCAACAAGTCGCACTTGTCTGTGAAATGGATTGTCTTGCCTTTAGCACGTTAAGGCATGTTACTGGCAACCATTTATAAGTATAAAAAATTCTTGGGAAATCAGATTTTTATTCTAACGTTTTGCAATCTTTGAAGAGTCAAAACATATTCTGCAGAATTTTTTTGTAGTTATTCCACTCATTTTTTTTTTGAAAATTATTCCACTCATTTCTCTCCAGTCTGTACTACGTTTTACAAGGGATTCCAGTGTTTGACCATCTACTCTTTGCCAAAAATACGACAATAAGCAAAAGCTTTATGGTAATGATGCTGCAATGATTATGGGGGATGAGATATGTACAACAATTGGCGTCTCTTCCTAGGATACTTAAAGAGATCCTTGAGGGAGACAGGGAGTTGCCACAAGTTCGAAATTTTCAAACTCCTAATGATGCTGTAGGCTGTTAACATAATGATGCCACTTCAAGTCTTCAATATCGAAAAGCGGATAGAAACCCAAAGCTAAATCCAAACATGAACAGTAATACAAATACTACTACTTTTCACATATCTCCAATACAAATATTGCTTAATCCAAAAGGGCAAAACCCAAAAAAAAAAAAAAAACAAGAAAGAAGGAAAGAAAAACCAAGGCAATATTCCAACATCAACTAGGCTGTGAAAAGCCAATCGAAAAGATTCTGAAATCTCGCCTTCTTTAGAGCAGGAGGATATGAAGGCAACAGCACATCCCATTCCCATGGTGTGGTAGAGGGGTTTTATGCCTCTCACGTGTCATCAGCCACACCTTCCTCCTCATCTTCATACTCAAGCTCCTCATCAGCAGTTGCATCCTGGTACTGCTGATATTCAGATACAAGGTCATTCATGTTGCTTTCAGCTTCAGTGAATTCCATTTCATCCATTCCCTCTCCAGTGTACCAGTGCAAGAAAGCTTTTCTCCTGAACATGGCTGTGAATTGCTCACTGACACGCCTGAACATCTCCTGGATCGAGGTTGAGTTACCAATGAAGGTTGATGCCATAGAGAGACCCCTAGGAGGAATATCACAGACACTGGACTTCACATTGTTTGGAATCCACTCGACAAAGTAAGAAGAATTCTTGTTCTGAACATTAATCATCTGCTCATCAACCTCTTTGGTACTCATCTTGCCCCTGAACATGGCTGAGGCAGTGAGGTAGCGACCATGTCGTGGATCAGCAGCACACATCATGTTCTTGGCATCCCACATTTGCTGGGTGAGTTCAGGGACAGTCAATGCACGGTACTGCTGAGATCCACGCGAGGTGAGAGGAGCAAATCCAACCATAAAGAAGTGCAAACGGGGGAAGGGAATTAGATTCACTGCAAGTTTTCGGAGGTCAGAGTTCAGCTGTCCAGGGAACCTAAGGCAGCAGGTAACACCACTCATGGTTGCAGAAATCAGATGATTCAGATCACCAACTGTCATGATTAGCAAATGAAAGTCAATTCAGTATACATCTTAGAAGCAAAATAAGAACTTAAGATAGGATCCATAACGGTTTAAGTAGAACCTTATGCAATATGGAGGAAAAGAGAAGCAAATATACAATCAGAATTCAGAACATGTTAACACTTACAGCTGGGGGTGGTTAGCTTTAGAGTCCGGAAACAGATATCATACAAGGCCTCATTATCCAGAACCATACACTCATCAGCATTCTCCACAAGCTGATGAACAGAAAGAGTAGCATTGTAAGGCTCAACCACTGTGTCTGAAACCTTTGGTGATGGGAAGACAGAGAAAGTAAGCATCATTCTGTCAGGGTATTCTTCTCTGATCTTAGAAATCAGCAAAGTCCCCATACCAGAACCCGTTCCTCCACCAAGAGAATGGCAAACTTGAAAACCTACCAGGAGAAACACATGTCAAGAACAATTACCAAAAATGAAAGACATAAGCCGCCACAGTGGAAACACTACAAAACCCAGATATATCTTAGTGTCTTAATTTCACTTCACAGCAAGATCCAAGGAACTAAACTTCAAAACAATCAGAAACCAATAGAAACAGAATGATACCCACTTCAATTTGAAATACATAGATGTCCTCTAGCAGGATGGATAAAATGGTCGGACCACAGTCAAGTCTCAACAAGTTTCCCAAACGAAATTCAGAACAAGAAACTATACCTTGGAGACAATCACAGTTCTCTGCCTCCTTTCTCACAACATCAAGAACAGCATCAATGAGCTCAGCTCCCTCAGTGTAATGGCCCTTAGCCCAGTTGTTACCAGCGCCAGATTGACCAAACACAAAGTTATCAGGCCTGAAGATCTGACCGTAGGGACCAGTCCTGACACTATCCATAGTACCTGGTTCCAGATCCATGAGCACAGCACGCGGGACAAATCGCCCACACGAAGCCTCATTGTAATAGACATTCACACGCTCTAGTTGCAGATCAGAGTTTCCATTGTATCGTCCTGTCGGATCAATACCGTGCTCATCACAGACCACTTCCCAGAACTTAGCACCGATCTGGTTCCCACATTGTCCACCCTGAATGTGAAGGATCTCTCTCATTATTTAACAACAGATCTGCAGAAACAGCAGAACAAGCAGATGTCTTTACTACAAACATAAGACTTAAGCAGACAAGGAATTAGATGACTATACCATCACTATCAAATATGAAATTCCAAACACTAAAATACCAAAGTCAGCAATTTCTCTGATTTTCCCACCTACTTTCTAGGCAAACAAACAGAAAACCAAAGATGAGGATTTTATACTTACATCGATCAGAGGCGGAGAAAGAGAGATAAGAGAGTACAGAGCAGGATGGATAATTCGGGAGCCAGGAAATGAAAGTATATAAAGGGCAGGGGAAAAGGGCTGGACCAACTCTGAAATCGGACGGCTGTTATTGTTTCCCTCCTTTTTCTATTATTATGCCTCTCAAAGCCGTTGGATTTGTTTGTCTTGAACGGTGTGGATTCGTTCGGTAGTGATTATCTTTTTTTTTTGGAAGCACGGGGATTTTGTTTATGGGAAATAACCTGAATCGAAATGACTTGTTTACCCTCCCTTACCAAACTGATATATATTTTTTTTTGGTTTTTTGTGACAGTTAAGGATAAAATTGATATTTGATTGTTGTAAGGATCAAGACAAGGAGAATGGAGGGAAATTAATTTCAGAATAAAATCAAATTAGAGAGGGAAATTTATCTGATTTTATTGAAAAAATTGTCAAATAAAATATAATTTTAAATCATTCGACTATATATGAAAGGGAAATACAAAAATTAAGCACATTGGAATTGATGATTGAAAATTTAAAAAAAATATATTTTTTATATCATTTGACTATATATGAAATAAATACAAAAATTAAGAACATTGTCATTGATTATTGATGACTTTAGATTAAGAAATTGATTCAGAAACAACTTTTAGGGCGTATTTAGTTGAGATTTTCCTTGAAAAAAGAATGTGAAGAAATTGACCAAGAAGAGATTTAGCTTAGCTTAGAAAACTAAATTTTTTGATACAAAAATTAAAGTTTAATATAATTAGAGTTATCGTCAACTTACATATAATTTTTATATATTATATTTATATAAAATTTTAACACTACAAGAAAATCCATATTTAGTGACTAAATTATTGATCATTAAATCTTTATTTTTCGTCACAAATTATTATTAATGATAAAATTTAAACCGTTAGTAAAACCCTTGTCAATGATGCTCTTAGTGATAAATCATGCACCTGTCACAAAAAATAATCTTATAGTGATAGAAAAAATTGACATTGTTAACCAATTATTTATAACAATTTTATTCGTCACAAAAAAATATTTTTTGTTACAATAATTTTTATCACAAATGTTACACTTGAGTAACAAAAAAATAGTCACAAATGCAATTGTGATAAAAAAAATTTAATCATTAATTATTAAAATTGATATTAAATAAAAAAGATATATAATTACAACACAAATATTGTAACAAAAATTTTGTCACAAAAAAATAATATATAAATTTATCACAAAAGTTTAATAAAAAGTATTATTATTTCAATACTAATCAATTTTGATTAAAATTAATCAAGTCTGATTAAAATTAATCAGGCCCAAACTAATTTCAAGTTTTATTGAGCTTTACATGTTTTATAATACAAAAATTTATTTTCTTAAATATTTCTCATCGATGTGGGATATATTTATAGTATAAAACCTTATTCTCTTATATTATAATCATTCATCTTTTCACTTTTAATGGTTAAAATTTATTCACTTTTTATTATATTTATTAAAGATAATTACCTTTTTTATTTAAAAAATGATGATAAATCTCAACAATTGAAAATGAAGAGATGAATGATCAATATTTTGTAAGTGTAATGTATAACATTTATGTATAAATGAATTCCTAATTATATAATTAATTATAATAGAAATGTAATCAATCATATTGGATATATAATTGATTACAAAGAGTTAAGAAATGATTATAAATGATGTGGAGGAATCCATTTATATATAAATTTTATATACCACAATTACACAAAATCTTAACTATTCATCTCTTTACTTTTAATTATTAAGATTTATTATGACTTTTTAAATGATAAAAAATGAATAAATTTAAACCATTATAAGTAAGAGATAAATTATTAAAATTTTATATAAGTATAATGTATAAAATTTATATATAACTAGATCTTAATTCATAAATGATATAAGCTATTATTTGCCTTTAATATGAAGTTACCTCACTTTCCAAACAGAATATCCCAAAAAAAAAATAGAAAAAAAAAAAGAAAGAAAGAAACTCTTCTAGGAATATTTTAGGTATTACCTTTTGTATTCAAAAACTACATTGAATTCTAATTAATCAGAAATCAACTCGGATCAGACCTCATAAAGAAGGAAAACTCTTCCACGAATGTTGTCACATAATTAATTATAATCAATTATATTAAATCTTGAATTTCGTGTGAAAAAATTTAATTTTTTAAACCAAGTCAAATCTCCTTTTGGCTGGCTTCTCCAAATTCATTTTTTTGGGAAGACCTCAACCAAACAAATTCTTGGTGTGTTCAACACTAAGTGGCCTAGTTGATACTCTTTTTTAAGTATATGTCGAGACAATAATATCTTGGGTTCTATACTTAAATCTTTCTCATTCTCAAAATTTTCTTTGTTAAAAAAAAAAAAAATTCTTGGTATGTACAACCATTGTATATAATTTTTATGTGAACTAATAAATGACTTGTTTTGCTTTATTAAAATTCATAACATTGCACATATCAACATATTTAATAAAATATGGTTGAATTTATTAATAAATAAATGTCTTTTTGTAGGCTAGCTTAAGAGTTTAAATCGTGAGACCAATATTTAAAGAAATTAATTTTTTTAATGTATTAAATCAATGTGGTAGATGTACTTTTAAGATTGTCCAAAAATGAATTTATCTCCTTATTTGTAAAAATTAACTCAAAGATATTCACTATAAATACAAAAAATAAAAAAACTCATTTAATAATATATAAAAGTTATGAATAAAAATTTTATAAATAAGTTGTCCATATATCATTTCTTTATCCATTTTTATCTATTTTTAAAAAACAATTGCATTTAAAATGACTATTTAAATAAGTACTAAAATAAAAACTCAACCATAATTTGGTGTTTTACTTTCTTTTTTCTTTTTTTTTTCTTTTTTTTTTTCATATTTTGAGTTGCATAATATCTCACAACTCATCTATAAACTTATCATCCTACACAAAAAACTTAACCTTTTACTTTCACTAAAATAAGTTATCATTAAATCACTTAACTTATTAGTTACATTTTGTTTACTTGAAAGTTCAAGCATTGTATTTTTTGAGATGGAAATTGAACATTCAACCAACATGTATCTTACAAATTAGGTTACAAGATCAAATGCAATTTAAAAATATTCTCAACCCTAATCGGAAAAATTAAAATTTGAGTGTCTTTTGGGGATCCCATGAATTGGATAGACTTAGGAAATCAGAATTATTATATTGAGAGTTTTGTAGTTGACAAAGGTTTAAGTGGAGCCAAAATCCTTACAAATAATTGTCATTGTGAATTTTTGATGGGGAGATATTAGTCAATACCTCACCTTAATACGTGTGTGTTGCCCTGTGGGGGTGGGGTGATTAATCAATTATCAATTATAGTGTGGGCCAATTTTCAACCTTTGTTATTTTAGTTGAAAGGTCACATGGATTAGGTGAATTTACCTCCCAAAATAAAGGTTTAGTTGAGATGTTTAGGGGCTATGACAGAGATTAAGATTCTCTAAAATTGAGTAATCGTCTCTCCCTTTTTTTTTTGTTTGGGGGTAAGATATAATGTTTTGGTTTTTGGACCACTTAAAAGTGTTTCTAGTTGTCTTCTCCCCCGTATGTTGCATTTCTGTTGTCTCTTATTTACAATCTCCATGTGATCGATGTGTGGACTATTTCTTTTCTTGTTCTTGATAGCAGGATCCGAGGAGAATAACTTTTTCTGTTGTTGTAATGATTTGTGACAAGACAGGAAATATCTCACAATTTAATCCCTTGGTTTTGTTTTGTTTTTTTTTTTAAACACTATTATACTACTCATTTTGTTTTTTTATAATAGATATTTTTTATTATATTAAAAAAAAAAAGAGAGAAAAGACTCCAATATTCTGGAACGGGCGGAGTGATGAGAAAGAATGTCATGCAATCCATTCATGCTGACACGTCAACGACTACCGTTGATGTCGTGGTTAAGTTGTCCAATAAATTAGTAACTTATTCCCAGAAGGTTCAATACCAGGATCCGTGGCGCAATGGTAGCGCGTCTGACTCCAGATCAGAAGGTTGCGTGTTCGATTCACGTCGGGTTCAAAATCCCGATCCTATCAGGGATCCTTTATTTTTGGTTTCCTTTCCTTCAATTTTTTTTTTCATTCGTCGATGTCTCTTATTTATGCATGCTTCAAAACATCCTCTCACTCAGGCCTGAGTCAGAATTTTTTTAGGGAGGTAAAATATTAGACTTTAAATTGTAAATAAAGATAATAAAAAGTATGTATCTTTAATTTTTAAGATTTGTCATTCGTTGTTTCATAAAATATAAATCACCTATAATTGAATTTGTAGTAATTTTTCTACAATCTTTTTGTCGACGTAAACAATCATATAATATTTGAAAAAGTCATCTTCTATCTTGTTGCAGAGTCTTATTTTGATGATTTTCATAGTTGAAAAAACTCGTTCAATGGTTACTATTGATATAGAAAGAGTTAAAACAACCCGAATTAATTTATCAATGAGAGGATAAACTTTTGATTTTCTAGTTTCCACCAACACTTGACATAATTCAGAAACAATAGATAAATTCTAAAATCTTAGATGAGCATGTACATCAAGTTTATAATGTTGCAACTTATATTTTAGACAAATCTTTTCTTTATCTGAAAAATCTGAAGATTAACACTTCTCCACAAGTTTGTATATGTCATCAATACTGAATGATTTATAGTCATTGCGAGAATCCAAAACTGACCTCAAAGTAAAAAGTTCTATAATTTGCTTATTGAACCTACAATTCAATTCTTTCAATTGATAATATAACACAATTGTGAATATATTTACTCAATAGTGATGCTTAACTATTACATCATCCTTTTTTTTACGAGAACGAATTATGTTACAAAAAGAAGCACTCATAAGAATTTAGATGGAATGAGTCTCACAAAAAGAAGTGACATCATGTAAAAGAGTATTCCAACCACTATTTCTTAGATCTTGAAGCAAAAATTTTGTGTTAGATACTAAACCTATAGCATTTAAAATATCTTGATTTTTTTGTTACAAAGCTTGGCAAAGTTTATTTGTAATTCTCATGATTTCCTTCATCAAATGTAAAATGAAGACAAAATCAAATGATAACAATGACTTAAGAGCAAATTTTGTATCAAATAATGAGTGGACTTAATATAAAGGGCTTTATATCAAATGATGAGTGGGTTTAGAAATGGGCAATAAAAAATGGATTAATAAGGGATAATGATAGAGGAGACGATTTTATGGAAAGAAAACGGAAGACGATAGGTGTAGCAAGATCAAAGTGCAGGATACAAAATAACCAATTTGACCTTGCCACACCTATCGTCCTCTATTTTCGTCCCATAAAATCGTCTCCTCTATCATTATCCATTAATAAGTTTCATAACTAAGTATTTTTATTGAAAAATTTTCAAACTTTAAGAAGGGAGGAAAAGAAAATTTTACATATATTAATTTACAAATTTTCAAAGTTTAGGGAATACGATAATTTTTCATATACTAATTTACAAAATTTTCAAATTTAAAAGGGAGCGCCCCGCTCGCCCCCACTTCCCTCCACCACTGCTCTCACTCCCCCAGTTCCCCCTCTGCCGCTAGTTGAGCCAAGAAGCAACAATCAAAGTTGATTTCTCCTAACCTGAGATGTCTTCAAATTGGTAATGACTATGAACTGTGACAAACTAAAGCGGCACAAGAGGAATCCTCATCTATGATCCATAGACTTAACTCTTGAAGCTGCATCTGAATCACATCTATACCCAAGTCTTTGGACCAATAAACCACCCTGTTCTTAGTCTTACTAACTTCTGAGGAGGATTGATTGAAATCCAGGTCGCCAATTCTCATGCCAAATCTTCTCTCGTTAAGACTCTTCACTCTAAAACCCTTCTCTTTCAGTAGGGTTGTCATTATGCATGCAAAACTTTTGCTCTCTTTTGGCAGCAGGATCTTATTCACCAGAGCTGGAACATTCTTGACAAAATCATCATTCCAAATTTTGTGAGCATAAGGCGAACTATTGACACAGAAAATTTCCAAGCCCTCCCCTGCATAGAAGTCATATCATATGTGGAATCCATGGACTCAAGAAACAAATCAGTACTGAGAAGAACCATGTTTCCATCCACCACCCATGTATTGTAACCGTAATCTAAGATCTTTTTTATGGTGTAAGCTTTCACCAAAACATTCTTGATTAGCCTTGCATCTGAGTCTTGAACTCCAACTGATTTGTACACTCCAATAGTGTTGAGAAATTGGTCTGCATCAATTACAGGATACCCCCTACTAGCCAGATCAAATAGGAATTCAGAATTAGATGCCATAAAAATGTAATTCCTAATATTTAGCCTCTCAAAGTGGCAGAGCAGGTTTCTTGTAAACATCTCTGATGCTCCAAATAGGCCCACAAGCCGAAAAATTTGCTTTCTCTGTACAGATTGAAGAACAGCTCCAAGATCATCCAGGTTCCTCACAACTCTACCAGCTAGCACTTCTCTGAAACAGAAATCATACCACTTCATTTTACTCAATGGTTGCATCTTGAGAAAATTGGAATCAAGTGAATTTTCATCTAATAGCTGAGAGTCAGGCCTTGCTGTTTTACCGTAGGTAACACCAGCATCCCCGTGAGAGACACTAAATGCTCTCTCATGTTGAAAATTTGTGTAGATATTAAAATAACCACGAGAATGGATAAATTTAATGAACCAGGGAGTCCAGATTCGTTCTTCCATCTTCTTGTACCACCCTGTGGTAACCTGAACATAGGTTTTCATATCTTTATTAGATTAAAAATAAACACCAAATGACAAAAGAGAAAACAGAGAGGCTAAATTACCATCCAAAAATCAAAAAGAATTACCATTAAATGACTTAAATGTAAGTTTTATTTACAAAAAGACCGGGTTGGGTCGATGTCTCGATGATATAAATCTACGTCAAGACCATCATAAGTCATGTCATGGTACATCATACATTAAATATTCCCATGGTTGGATTGGACGATGCGTTTGAACTGGGCCCAAAAAGGCTGCAGAGCACTCCGCGTGGGGCTCGTACTGGGCCCCCACAGAGAGAGTTTTTTGAAGTTTGAAGCATAAGCATCCCAATTACAGCCCGGCCCCCAGTTCAAAAAAATTGAATGGACAATTTTTTTAAGCTAAAATGATTATATTGACCCCGCCCTTATTTTTAATTGATTATTGAAATGAAATATTATACTTTTTAATGAAATAAATCATTTTTCTTACGTTTTTCAGGAATCCAAAACAATTATAAAGTTTTGGTAATTAAAATATTCATAATAATGAACGGGTCCGTTCCTGTCTAGTGGCATTAAATTTTGAGTTAGAGCTGTTCACCTTTAATGGATTGCATGTTTGAGCCTCACGAAATTCTTTTTCTCTCTTCCTCAATTAACCTTATAAATAATTACAAATTATTCAAAAAAATGTATTCATAATAATATTAAAATTATTTAAATATTTTAAATAAATTAATAAAATAAAAAATTTATTAAAAATATTTAAATAATTTTACATATAATCTAGACTTAATTCAAAAATGAACTTTCTTTTCCAATCATAAAATTTTTTTTATCTTTATTTATTGATAAATTTTGTTATATTAGATGAGCACTACTATATATATATAACTTTTAAATAAAAAAAATATATTGACTAATTAAGGTTGAGTGTTTCGTTGCACTCGACATTTTTCATCTTGTAAGCCATATTTGTTCCACAATCACACATGATAAAGAATTGCATATTTTATAATTATTAATAAAAGATTATTTTAAATTAAAAAAATTATCTTTAATTATTAATTATAAAATGTATAATTTAAGTAAAATATACTACACGCCTCTTTATTAATAACATTAAATGGATAAATATATTGTACATAAACTTAGTAGTTGTTTGATTAATAATTAATAATAATAATTATTATTAATTTAAATATTTTTATTCATTAAATTAACTATCAATTTAAACCGCTATCTCTCATTGCCTTCATGGTCCCTTCTCAAAAAAGGAAAAAAAAACCTCAAAAAAGGAATATTTTATTCATAAAAAAGGGGATATTTTAGAATTTACAAGGAAACTTAAATAATGCACATAAAAGGGAAATACTTATAAAATAATAGTACATGCCAGTGAAAAAGATAAAAAAAGGAGGAGCAAGGTTATGGAGGGGCTTTTTCTGTGTTCTTTAGCCTTCCTTTTCAGAAAGCACAACCAACAAACATTTCTTCTTCCTCCCCTGAATATTCTCTCTCTTTCTCTACTCTTTATTTTCTGAATAATAATCAAGAAAATCCGTTGCAACTTAACAAGCATCTGATATAAGGATCCATTTCCCTTATTTCCTTCTTCTCTATGTAGCTTCTAACGATCTGTAAGTTCCCAAGTTTCCCCCTTTTTGTCTTCATTGTTAACTTTTCCTCTGTTTCTACATTTCTGGAATTAGGGTTTTGCTTGCCTTCTTCCAGCTCTTCTTTTGTCTTGGAAACGATTTCTGGGTAATAATACCATCTGGGTTTGGTCTCTGCTGCTCTTGTTTAACGTGTTTGTTTGCTTGATTGTTATCAATATCAGCTGTTTGGCTAGGGAGAAAATTAAGTGTTTCTATTTTCCTGGCTGCTTAATTACAAATCATCTGACTAAATTCTATTCCCTTAATGTCTTTCTCTAGTTACCAACTAGTAAATTCGTTTTTTCTGTTGCTGGTTGTTACCTAATTGAAGTAATTCGGGTAGGTAGACAGTGACCCACATTGTAGTTTTAGCTGCTAATTAGTTGTTTAAGTATGATTATCTATTAAATAATTTTGTATTAAGTTAAGGTTTTGATGATCTGACATTGTTGTCAGTTTGAAACGATGACAAGGGTAAGCCGTGAATTTGGTAACACCCTGCAAAAGGAAGCAGTTTCAGCAGTATCTGCTGATGTGATATTTGCTTCCAGTCGGTTTCCAAATTACAAACTTGGAGCCAACAATCAGATTCTGGATGCCAAGGATAGTCCAAAAGCACCATCCATGAAGGAGGTTGTTGCCCGTGAGACTGCACAGCTGTTGGAGCAGCAGAAACGCTTCTCTGTTCGTGACCTTGCTAGCAAATTTGAGAAGGGGTTGGCTGCTGCTGCTAAGTTATCTGAAGAGGTAAATCTTATTTCCAAGTTTTTTGTTTTCATTTGTTTGTATCTAGAGGATAGACCTATTTTAGTATTCAATATTTTTATCCATTTTAAAGATATAGGCTTGAATAGAATTGCCTAAAATTAGGCTGATTATGTTTATATACCATTCCAGAGATGTAAATGTCAGCTAAGTGCTATTTTTTTGTTTTCTGATTGGTTTGAGATACCATATAGATCCTAGAATGTGACTAATTGATTACGCTTATTTATTAATTTTTATTTTTGGGTAATGTTTCTTTGGTTTCCGTCTTAGTTGAGTATGAATAAAAGCAGTAGGTTTTGTCTGTTTAGTTAAATGAATAAATCTACCACACTACTCTGTAATTGCTGTTATAAGTGGAAGTATTATGATTATTCAATTCTGAAGAGAATGGTTATAGGAATTGATTATAAACTAGTGTTGCATTTTTACCAGTCATTTTTCTTGATTTCAGGCTAAACTTAGGGAGGCAGCTTCGCTGGAGAAACATGTACTGTTAAAGAAGCTTAGAGATGCTCTGGAATCTTTAAAAGGACGAGTGGCTGGCAGAAATAAAGATGATGTAGAGGAAGCTATAGCCATGGTTGGTGTTCTATTTCGAGATTCTTTTCTTTAAAATATATATATATATATATATATATTATCCTTCATTGAAAACCTAAAGCTTGAGCTTTTGTGTCTAACCTAATCCAAAATCTTAAATTGATAGCAAGAGCTCAAAGTAGATTTAATCTTTATCAATCTAAGATTAATTTTAAAAATCTTTTCATGGTTTTATGTAACCCCTATAGGATGTTTCTTATGTTACTATCTGTTTCAGTTTTTGGTTGATGCCATATAACCATGAGATTATGGTTGCCTCCTCCAGGTTGAAGCTTTAGCAGTCCAGTTGACTCAAAGGGAAGGAGAGTTGATTCAAGAGAAGGCTGAAGTGAAGAAACTAGCAAATTTTCTGAAGCAGGTACCATATAACTTATAATAAAAATCGAATGCTGTACTTATCTCCAAAAGAAAGGACAAGAACAGGGTAAATGTGCCTTTGGTTAGCAACATAATTTGTCAGATGTATCTTTGAATTCCCACTAAAATGAAAGAATGTTCTCTTGTTATCTCATTTTGGTGAATATCTATTTTGAGAACAGAAAACAACAGAGCATAGGAGGCCTGGATCCTTGTATCACTTGATTAATTGTGTTTTTGTTTCCCTTTCTTAAGTTTTTGGGTTAATTGTTATTTCGGTTTATCTCTTTGTTCTTGGGCAATAATAGGCTTCAGAAGATGCGAAGAAACTAGTTGATCAGGAAAGAGCTTTTGCTCGTACTGAAATTGAGAGTGCAAGAGCAGCAGTTCAGAGAGTGGAAGAGGCCCTTCAAGAACAAGAACTAATGTCACGAGCTTCAGGAAAACAGGTTTTCCTTGCATAGATTGGTTCCCCAACTCTTACTTTGTTGTGGGAATTCAGCAGTTTTAAACTCTTTGATTCAAATGCATCTATCTATTTATTGTATATTCACTCTTTCTCTTTATGATCATCTTAAATGTACAATGCTTAGAGGAGTTGGGAATAATCTAAATCTTAGAATTATCGAGGACAAGGTCATATCTATTTTTTTCCTCTTGTGATCTGTTATGTTCAATTATATTCTCATATTTGTATCTCCTTTGTTTTTGTTTCTTATCATAAAGGTTTAGTATGTGTTTATCAATCAGGACATGGACGAATTGATGAAGGAGGTTCAAGAGGCTAGACGGATCAAAATGCTTCACCAACCAAGCAGGGTATATCCAAATTCTCTAATCCCTGTCTTTGAATATTCTTAATGATTTTTCTTTTCTTAAACAGCATGAATATTCTGGGACACTGCCTTTGTTATTTTGTCTCTAATTTTGGTTATGTTCAACTCTTTTCCTTCTTGATTTTCTGTTTTTTATTTAGTCCCTTGCATATGGTGCTGAACTTGAAATGTTGTGTATTTTGCATTCAAGTCAAGTTGTGTAAATGGGCTTTGTTTATTATTGTTCTTTTGGTTTGTGAACTGGCCTTACTTTTTTAGATGGTTTACAATGGTAAAGGAATGAGTTTATTTCCTGTCAATGAATGCGTTGGGCTAAATTTATATAAAAACATCATGTAAATTATGGATGACTTTGATCATGATTAACAAAATTGCTCCATTCAAAATATACTTTTCAGTTGAAATAAGTGGTCACTTCCGCTTATATTTGCAGGTTATGGACATGGAACATGAGCTTCGAGCGCTAAGGATGCAGCTTGCAGAGAAGTCAAAGCATTCTCTTCAGCTTCAGAGAGAGGTCTGTTTCTCAATTTGATTTTGCGGTGTCTGATAAAAAGTAACTTTCAACTACATGATCACCTGCTCTGCATCTTTGAAATGTCAAGAAATACACATAATTTCCAACTGGTTTCAACCTCAAATGCCAAAACCTAACCATGCAGAAATTTGACAAATCATTTGACTTAAAAATAAAGCATTACAATTTTTTCCCTGAGCTTTCTCTTTTGAATTTTTTTTTAATCTTTTTACTTTTCCTTGTTTTGACAGCTGGCAAAGAGCAAGAGGAGTGTGGAAAACTTATCTTTTTTGTATGAGTTAGATGGTGCTGAAGCATTAGGTTCATATTTGCAGATTAAACCTTGCTCTGAAATTTCTCCTGAGCTTTCTAAATGTTCAATTCAGTGGTATCGTATATCATCTGAAGGTGGCAAAAAGGAGCTAATATCAGGTCAAACAAGCATCAACTTATGCATCTATGTGTATTTCAGACTACTAAATAAGTGAACTGTTGATGTTGAAGTCAACCTCTATAATTTCAACCTTACGTGCTGCTTCATCTCCATGGACAGAAGATGGATGTGCTTCTTTTCTATCTTCCCTTTCCATTTCCCATATGGTTGACTTGGAAGACTAGATTGGAGCTAATAGGAACGACATCATTTTCTAAATAAAATGAAGAAAAAAAAGAAACTTTTCCTTTAGTGAGTTTGTTTTTGTATGATATTCTTTCTTCTGTCACAGGTGCCAGTAAATCAGTTTATGCCCCAGAGCCCTCTGATGTTGGTAGATTACTGCAGGCTGAGATTGTTTATGATGGCCAGCAAACCATATTGACAACTGCTGGTGCTATCGATCCAGGTGCAAGTCTGGTGCTTGCCTTTTTCTTGGTTTTCTTGAGTTCTGCAATTATATTCATTAAGAGCTTTCTTTTTATTTTCTTTTCTGTGCTCATTTTTTTTTTTTTTTAAATCTTGGTTGTTGCTATAGTCTAATTCATTTTTCAAAGAAAGAATATCTTATATTTTTATTTATTTATTTTTGTGCAGCTCCTGGCTTGGGAAGCTACGTGGAGGGACTTGTGCGGAGACATGACATAGAATTCAATGTGTGTTGTCCTCACATTGATAATCTTGGCTCATGATTGATCAACTCTATTCACATTATGTTACCCATTCTTTTGCATTTTAGTTATGCAATCAATATTCTTTTTGTTAGTATTTCTCCATCATCTTTCAGGTAGTTGTTACCCAGATGAATGGGACAAATCATCCATCAGAATCTATTCATGTACTACATGTGGGGAAGATGAGGATGAAGCTTTCTAAAGGAAAGACAACAATCACTAAAGAATATTATTCCAGTTCAATGCAGGTACTAGAGATTGTATGTTTTCTCTATTAATGAAATATGATCTTAAAATATTAGGCCAAGGGAAAGGAAAGAAAGAGAAAAACTGAAACCACCCACCCTATAATTGGCTACACATGTTCATGTTTATATAGAAGCATTATAGAGAAACTTCATCAGACCAAGGAAAAGAAATTCATATGCAAAGGAACATTTACCTAACGTCCTCTCAATAATTGACCTTTCGAACATTATTACTACTTTCTGAGTTTGCCATTTGTTACAATATTTGCTCTTGTTTTAGCTCTGTGGAGTTAGAGGAGGCGGAAATGCCGCAGCCCAGGCACTGTTTTGGCAAGCCAAGAAGGGGCTCTCCGTTGTACTGGCATTTGAATCAGAGAGAGACAGAAATGCAGCGATTATGCTTGCCAGGAGGTTTGCTTTTGACTGCAATGTAAGTGATTATCAAAATTCTGCCTTTTTTCCCGTAACTACAAATTCTATCTATTCCTTTTCCTTTCATATATCATCGGTGCCTGAAGTGCATCTTCATTTGAAACTGCCAGGTCATGCTTGCCGGGCCAGATGACAGAGCGCCTTTAGAAACCTAAGCAGACCTCTTCAGATTTCCATTTTGCTAATTGTAATTATGTCTGAGAGTTTCATCGAGTTTTATGTAATTATAAGTTTGTCTGTAGGATGTGAAGTCTGGTTTGGTTGTGTATTGAGTTTCCCACCATTCTTTTTCACCCATTTTTACCACATTTTCCATTTCTGCTGCTGTACCAACACCAAGGCATTCTTTTAGTTCGCCTCCATTTCTCTCACTGTAGCATATTCTTTCACTAACATTTGAAGAATTCCTTGAAGCTGTCTATACTTTGTTGAATTGATCTCAGTTATAATGATTTTGATGCGAGCTTGATTATAGATTTGGCCAAATCTTAGATATGCAACGCATTAAGCTTGCTTGCTTTCTTATTCCGATCAAAGAGAAGGATCATCTTTACACAGAGCACCATGAGGCATAATTATACTGAAACCATAGAGTAGAAGTGTAGAACAACATTATTTGGTAGTCACCATATGATCTTATTAGGCAATTTAGATGAACTTCTGGAAAAAGTTGAAAATGTGAGTGTTGATCTCTTCCGCTTTCTCTTGGTTGATGAAGTGAGCAACGCCTTCCATAACCACCACTTCCTCCAGCAACGGTACGTCTTTCTTCAACCCTCCTTCACTGTGAATGTACTCCTTCAAACCTGGCATATGGTACACGAGGTCCTGATCTCCGGTCACAAACTTCACCGGCACCTTGATCTGACTCCCCGTCCACGGCACCAGCAATTCGTAGTTTCTGTATTAACATGTATACTCAAAATCAAAGTAAAGAAATTAAATATAATGCCTAAGAAAGTACATAACTTTGGAAGACAGTCAGCATACCGGTTCAAATTCCGGTAGTAGTTCACGGCTCCGGTGAAACCTGTCTTCTCAAACTTGGAGGCGTAGTACTGGATATCCTTCTCCGACAACCAGGGAGGCAATAGAACGGGACTCTCCCGTGGATGCCCGAACGGTTTGGTACCTTTAGGGAAACGGAGAGCATCTGGAAGCTTGTATGTTAAGAACTCCTTCATAATTTCCTCTATTCCGATCTGTGCAAACTCTGCTTCTATTTCTCCTTGCTCCTGCAAATTACTGTCAATTGATTAAGAGAAAGGGAATTGAAATTGATCAAAAGATGAAGAATCATATGTTACCTGAAATCTGCACATATAATAATCCTCGCCAAAAATTGCTCGTAAGGAGTCGACTGGTTTCACTCTCGTCGCCGGATTTATTCTTCGAAAAGGCACACTCAAGCTCACATAAGCCTTGACTTTGTCCGGGCGGAACAAGCACAAGTACCAACCGATGCTCGCGCCCCAGTCATGGCCAACGACGAACACTTTCTCCTGGTCGGCAGCAACCGCATCGAGTAGGCCAATCAGATCGCCGACCAAGTTGAAGCAAGTGTAGCTGGAGACTGATTCTGGCGCGTCGGTGTCGCCGTAGCCTCTGAGGTCAGGAGCTATGGCACGGTAGCCGAGGGAAGAAAGAGCAAGGATCTGATGGCGCCAGCAGTACCAGAGCTCGGGGAATCCGTGGATGAAGAGAATCACCGGACCATTGCCTTTCTCTGCTACATGCATGTTTATGCCGTTAACCTTCAGGGTTCTGTGCTCTATCCCCTCCATTTTCCTCTCTCCGATTTGCCTTCCGCCGATATTTTCTCCCTTTCTTCCAGTTGGAGAAGAGGACTGAGAATCTGGTTTTTATGGTAGAAAATGGCTAACAATCTCTGCCTTTGATTTCTCTGTTTCAGGTGAAAGCGACAAATAGAAATAATTATTTAACAAATTTGAAATGGTTAAAGAATATTTTTCGAGCAGCAGCCGTTTTGACTCGGTGCATCAGTGGTCAAGACTCAACCCTTATAACTATTAAGTTGTGAATTCGATTCTTGAATTTGATATTTTTTCCATTTTAATTTTTAAAATGATAAATATTTTTTAATTTAAAATATATTTTAAATTAATATGTAGTATTTTTTATGTTTTAAAAGAGATAATTTTTTTATTGTACTAAATTACAAAACGTGTGTTTTTAAAGTTATTAAAAAAATTAGTCTTAAAATAAATAATAAGTAAATATTATTTTGTAAGGTATTATTTTATATATTAATTTTAAAATTTAATATTTAAAAGAGATAATTTTTTAAATGTACTAAATTACAAAACGTGTGTTTTTAAAGTTATTAAAAAAATTAGTCTTAAAATAAATAAAAATTAATTAAAAATACAATAACAATAAATAAAAATTCCAAAAAAAAAAAAAAAACAGACCATGTAAACCAATCTAATAATCCAAAAATATGAAGGTGATCAATTAGTTAGTTTTTCTTATTCACAA